TATATGGCAGATTTTGTTGAATAAAACCGATGTCTATAGGTTTACTTTCTTCTTGAGAAGGTTTCCAAGAAGAAAGTAAACCTACAGACATCGTTCTTATTCAACAAAATCTGCCTACAAGAAAATCTGTCACCAAAGTACACCAATATATATATGTATTTCTAATATATAGACCTTTCAAACGTGCCTGGCTAACAATACAGAAGTTATAATGATGTGGCTCACGTGAACTCATGTTACCGTATCAAATAACATAAAACTGACCTTTAGTCTGTACAAAGTAACTTCTCTTGGCTTTGTTATAGTAGACTAGTATTTTGTAAAATACAGTCACATTTCAATTATTATACATTATATATGTATATAGATTATTGCTATTTTGAAATAAGTTCTTAATTTTTCTTAAAACATAGAACAGTAAATAAAGATTGTTTGTTTTGACTTTTGCACAAAGCTACACGAGGGCTATCTGCACTAGCCATCCCTAATTTAGCAGTGTAAGACTAGAGGGAGGGCAGCTAATCATCACCACCCACTGCCAACTCTTAGGCTACTCTTGTAACAACGACTAGTGGGATTGACCGTCACGTTATAACGCCACCACGGCTGATGGGGGAGCATGTTTGGTATGACGGGGAATCGAACCCGCGACCTTCAGATTGCAAGTCGAGCACCCTAACCACCTGGCCATGCCGGGCACCTGTAAATAAAGAAGTAAAGCAAACAATTATTTCTTCTAGTTATGACCTTTGTACTCTGTTACTCCTTGACGTAGATTGCTAAGCCTTTAAAAAATTTGGACATGGAGGATATGAAACAAAATATATTTTTTTAGGTTTTATATATACATTTGAACAACTAAAAAATCATAAATTACTACATTAATTACATAAATTCCACTATAATTTATCAAGCTTATTAACTAAGATGTATTTTAGTCTTAAAAAATATGAAATTTTGAGCAGACTAAAGACACACCCTACCTTGCTGAAATATTGGCTCAAAAGAAAGAAATGGTGACAAGCCCGTCAAATAGGCTGAGAAAACTACTAAGGGGGCATTCTGGTCTTCCGATTGGTTATTCGTGTCATATATAGAAATAAGCGTATATAAGAGAGCGTTTCCAAAAAAGGAAAGAGGTGGGTTGGGTGCCACTGTGTTTGATTTATTAAATGAGCAATATCTTAAACTGAAAAGATAAGAGACTCTTATTTTATATTCTAGCTTGTCAATATCAGTAATTTGAGTTTCTAATTCATACAAAACTATAGACTTGAACCAGTGAACTAATTTCAACCAGTGCTGTATTCAACATACCACGTGATACACAAAAATCGATGTTTACCTGTTTTTTCATATTTGCTTTTAAATTAAGTAATATATCGTACTAAAATTTGAATTATAATCTACAGTTTGATATCAGACTTATTGACATAAATTCATGAAATAGTAGTTCAATAAAATTTTGAATGTGAGTAAACAAACGAGATGACATGGCCTTTCACCTGTGACCCATATCGAATGCATTAACCGGATAGCTTTGTGTCAGATCTGAACTGGAATTACAATTAGGCACCTGCAGAGGCTGGTGCCACTCCTACTGACATCTGGAAAAAAACATCCAGGGACCCAAGCTTTATTCATGATAGTCCATGAGTGGCAGTCCATGATAAAAAGGTAATAACCATCTGGTAAGCACCTGGATGGTCTTACGGAACACCCCATTTTGACAGAGCCTGTTGTAACCTGTAGTAATTATAGTGAAAGTGTTTACTAGTGCAGAATTGAAAAGAGAAAGCATACCTGCTTAGGCAACACTCGACACAGAGTGGGATCCAGTGAAAAAATAAAGGGACCCTGGAAAAAAAGATTACACGATTGATGAAAATTCTCACCCCTTGTGAAAGTCTAACAAATTTGGTCAAAATAGCTACAAGGGATTAGTCAAAAACCCTCAGAAGAGGAAACTGCCAGATCATGTAAGGAATGAGATAGGAAAGTATTAAGAGTAATCCACATACCAAACCACATAATGTCTTCCAGAGAGCAATTCAACAGGGGACTATTGACAAAGTAATGACAATCTGGTGATATATGACATATTGGAGTAAAGCAGGACAAATGTGGAAAGATGAAGAGTCTGAAGCACAGGAATTGCAAAGAACACCAACCAACGATGTCCACAAGCCAATAACAACAAAAAATACAATTTAAGAGAAAGGTGAAACAAAGAACATGAAGCTGAGGGCTCAAAACGAGGATAAGACAACACATGTAAAACAACTGTAAAACCACAATTTGGTAATTGAAAAGGTCATTTGCATCAAAGAATACAAATGTTTTTGAGTAGATCTGGTAGTACTGAGGATTCAAAAAAACCTTCCGATATTTGGAATACCAAAAAATAGCGGATAAGGATGCCTTATATAAAGCAACTGTAAGCAAAGCAAGATCCTTCTCAAATACTCAAGTCATAAAATGGGATATGCTAGATATTTTAGGATGAATAGTGTTGAAATTCCTTTTAAGACACCCCTGAAGATAAGTATTCCATTTCCGTTGATAAATGGTTGTGGTTTGCCTACAGAGAGATTTAGTTAAATACAGAGAAACCATGGAAGTTAAACCCCTATGTTGGGCAAAGGTCTACATAACTTCCCAGCATGATAACTGAGTTTCTGAACACCTGGGTGGAGAATGTCTGATCAAGGTAGTATCAGAAACTGCCAGTGTGGAAATGGTAGAGGAGAAAATACCCGCAGATACTGAAGAAGCGAAAATCACATTTGAATTGGCCAATGTGGTACAACCAAGATAACTCGGTAGCGAACCATAATCAGAAATAAGGGCAATAGCCAAATTGGGGGAAAGACATATAGATGTAAACCTGTCCAGTCCTGAGTGAACACATCTACTGCCAACACTTGAGGATGAAGTATTGGAGACCAAAACTGAGAGCAAATCCACTGAAAAACCTTGTGATATATCATCCATTCTGCCGGAAAAATCCAGTTGGATCGAGACAAGTGATTTGCAATTAAATTCATCACTCCTGAAACATGACATGCTAAAAGACTGATACAATAGGAATGAGCCCAGTAGAGGAGACCCAAGGTATAAAGACAAGGTCTCAAGAATGTGCGCCTCCTTGACGAGAAATCTGAGATACCACTGTGGGATTGTCGGAGTGTAACATGACAATTTTTCCCTTCATGAGAGACAGACTTAAACCATTGCCTGGTGTACTGCAAGGAGTTCAAGAACATTGACATGGAGGGTAGAACTGACTTCCATCCAAATACCCTGGAACTCCTAACCTTGAAGATAAGTTCTCCATCCCTGAAGAGATGTGTCTGTGAATGCATGGATCTTGGGACGATGTTGCTCCTGAGTAATGAGACAGGATGATCCAAAGGACTGGAAAGCATGATTTATTGATCGTGCAGTGATCACTGAATGGACCTCATATGAGCTCATCCCAAAGGAATAAGAGGCTCAAGGGATGCCCACATCCCCAATAGAGAGAGAACCATCCATGCAGTAGTAGAAGATACAAGTAAAAGCATGATGGCTTTTTCCATGGTTTAAAGCCTGATAGGGGTTGGTTGAACATGACTTAAAGAGTACTGAAAAACACACCCAGATGGACAAGATATTGCATTGGTGACAGAATAGATTTCTCCAGCCTCCAGACAGGGAAGCCCACTTTTGTGGCTTCAGTTATGAGAATTTGAAAGTGTTGTTATGCTATTTGATGGGATGGTGCCAGAAGAATCCAGTCATCCATATAATGATGTGTGTACACGTCCAATGAATGTAAATGATGAGAAAAGGCTCGAACAGCTCTGCAGAAGACATAAGGTGTTAATGCAAGACCAAAAGGTAGAGTCCTGAACTGCAGCATCTGACCCTTGTGCATAAATCTGAGAAACCTCCAGGAAGATTCTGTTATGGGAATATGCAGATAAGCATCAGTAACATTGAACTTGGTCATCCAGAGCCCTGGCACAAAGTCCCATCGTAGGTAGAGAAAGGATTCCATAGTATATCAAGGAGGATCTAAAATTGGTTGAGTCGAGACAGATTGATGGTTTGTTGCCAATCTCCTGTCTTCTTGAGTACAACAAATAAATTGGAATAAAATCCTGGAAGAACTGGATCAACCCTCTACTACTGCCCATTTTACTAACAACTCTCTTATAGCCTGGGAACGAAGCTCCACTCATCGTAAATATGTTGAAGGTGACAAGGCAACAGGTTGTGCTGATAAAGATGGAGGTGATGTAAACTAAATGACCAACCCTGAATTCAGAGCATGTAATATTCATTGATCCCTGGCAAAAGAACTTCATATGTCCAGAAAGTGATGTAAACTGCTCCCACCCACGGGATAGACACCAACGCTGTATTCGAGGGTCTGTCCGTGCTAAAATCTTCAAGATTATGGATGGATGTTATTATGGGAACCAAAGGAGAGGTCGGAAAAAACTAAAAGACACTTTGATGATAAGCCAAAGCACGCTGTTCCAATAAATATGGGGGACAAGGCATAGATATCTCATCATGTAACTGAGCAGCAAATCTCCCAGTGTGAACAGCATAATCAGGAGGAGGAGGAAAAATCAAGTAGTCACTTGTTGTTCTTGCTGCCAACAAGGAAGGAGTAGAGTCAAATGCAATAGGAGAGACCCCCCAAAACCTCACAAACCTGAGTAACCAACTGAAGAAAAGGGGCTGGAGGGGGCTGATCAAAATGATCCTCTGTTGAGGCTAACCTAGTAAAAGAAGGAACTGAAAAAGGTTAGTCTAAAGTCTCCCCAGCTCATCCAGTTTATTTGCAGAAACTGCCTCATAACCCCCCAGAAAGACACCATCAGTCCGTATATATATGTGTCCATCTCACAAGTTATCATATAACAAACAGCCTCACTGAGTCATTGAGAAATACCAGATAACAGAGGTGGAACAGGAGAGGTCTCAATAGACTCCGTAACAGAAATATTAACTCGGGAATTCATATCCGTTGGTAAAGTTTTTTTTATTATTATTAGAGTAATTTATAAATATATGAAGATATAACTGTAGTAATGCAAACCAAGTTCAAAGTCTCACAGTAAATTGTGAATAAACACAACATTCCTGCTTATAAAAACACAGCCGAATGCTTTGTCAAGAAAAAATGATTACATCATCTGAATGAGGTGCTTATATACAGTACCTAGATAGAGGGCCCATTGAAGTTGGTGGAGAAATTTGCAAATTAGAATTTGCCATGGGCATTCGAGTGTGGTATAAAAGACTGGAGCAAGCATTTTCAATGTTTAGATCGTGAAATAACTATAGTGTCAAATGATTTTCACTAGGTACTGGCTATTTCTCTTCATAAAACATGTTTACATTCTTCTGGACCAGCAATATTACAGCTGTAAGAAGACCCCCAATGAGTTTATTTGCAACAATGCAGGAAACTTGTAGTGAATTTCTTCAGCTTGTGACTACAAACATGTCATTATTAATCATATACCAAACAAACAAAGTCCAGAAAGACACAATTACAGCTACATATTATCTTTAATAACACAACTGTAAAAAGTTTAATTACCTCATTTTTCTCTGATGTTCCATCACACTTTTCTTCTTGCTCCTCTTTTGTTACATCAAACTTCAAAACTGTATGTAGAGAACTTTCTTCCAAGGAATCAACTTTTCCTGGAGCTAGAAGTACAAATAATGTAAATAACAAGATTAAATATAATTTGTGTTTTACTAAATTATAATCAAAATGCACACAATGTATTTAGAAGAACAGAAAGAATGCTATAGGACATTAGAAAGTTAAGCTCTTGATACTTGAACATATCTGAATATCATTTAAAATTAATTTTCTTATTTGTAGTCATTTGAGTTGATAAACAAATGAATAGCTTGATTTAAAAGGATTGTTAAATAAAAATTGTAGGATTAAACTTTAAGTTAGAGCTAAGTAACTAACATTAGATTAGGATGTGTAACAGTACTTTAGGTTTAGCTATAATTCAACTCATTGGTAAATCATAAAACGGATTAAGTACATTGTTTTATTAAGTAAATACAATCTAAAGTATAGTTGATTATCACTTCACATTTTAAAGATAAACTTGGTTACTTGACTTTAATTTTAGTAGTTGGACTTGAAATTTAGCTTATAGGTAGGTTATATATCAATATATTATATTGTAACTTGTATTATTATATTATTAATATCAACTAAAGTAAAGACAAGTTATTTGTTACTTCTATAAAATTAAAGATAAACTTAATTACTTTAATGTGAAGACAAAGTAGTGGTAAAATCTTTAATATGTTTGATTCTCAAATATTAGGCTTAACAGTCTTGTCAACAAGCTACTGGTATTTAGTATTGTACGATTTCACGACTTTTAAGGAAGCTAATAGTGAAGATGTGTAATTTCTTTATACAGGTTGAAGTAGAAGGCTATCCTAATTAAAGTAGAGACAAGTTCTTTCAGATATATATATTCTACTAAATTAATGTCCAAGTCTAAATAGTTAGCATGAACATTATTCTTATTGCTTTTTTTGTTGTAAGTTCTTTCAAAAAAATTAGTGTTAATTCTCTTTGAAACCTGACAGCAAGAAAAAAAAATATTGGTTTCGTATTTTATTTCTTGTTTTTCATGTTTATTCTCTTTGCATAATTACAAAAGTAACTAAAATGTAAAAATAAGGATCCTTTTAGGTTCGTTAAGATTAGAATAGGTAAAATAAATAATAATAATATCATAATAAAAATGTTTCATGAGACATACACATGAGCAGCTATTGGGTAATGTTATTTGTTAGTGTAACATGAACTACACGTTCCCCGAGTGATTTACAACAAATAATGATGCAGATAGTAATTAGACATGGTTCATAGGGCAATAAAACAATACAACTTAATTATAAATGGATGTATACTGTTACAAACTTATAGTTACTTAGGATAAACCCATGTAGATTCATGTTACAATCTGAAGTCATCCTAGAAAGAAAAAAAGGGTAATTTAGGTTTATTTTTTTATTTTTTTTTGGTGGTTACAGGGTCGGTCACTTTGATCAATCCCTTTTTGAGATAGGATACAGAAAATAAAAATAAACTATAAAATTTGATTGAAAAAAAAACGTTTGAAATGCATTTGAGGTTTTAGGAACTACACAAACGAAATTTGAGGTTTTTGGGATGACATAAAGGAAATTTGAGGTTTTTGAGATGAGGAAAAGTATTTTTAATCTTAACATAAAAATTACTTTGCACATGGACTATTCAAAACAAATACTCAATGTATTGGTGGACAAATCTTTATTTTATTAAAAATACTTCATTAAAAAATATGATTTTTTGTATGTGAAAGTCATATAATATTAATTGAAAGACTGCTAAATGTTATGAAGATATGCACACTATATTGAAAGTTAGAAGTATTAAATCTATACAGACTTTAAATGAGTACAAAGAGATCACATGGTTGGTCAACTTGACTGAGCCTGTGTTGAGAGAGTTAAAGACTGCACTGCTTATATCTACATACAATATTATGTTAATTGGGCAGCTACTGTTCCTTGTTCTGAATACATGGGAAGACCTGGACCAAATCTGTACCAAGCTATCAGAAAACACAGGCCAGAGAAAAACTGGTGAGTCAAATAATAAATAACAATTTTTTCATTGATATTTATTATCATGGATATAAATAGTTTATACATATCAAATGTATGCCAACTTGTAGATATAATCAAGCATCCATGTAACATAATTTTTCAGGTTGCTGTCCTGAGTGCCTTGGTACAATTTTGGAGATTCTGTACAAAGAATGTTAAAGAAGTTGGGGACTTTCTGCCTGTGGCCCAGCTTCAACATGAAGGACAGAAACAACAAGTAAACATTCCAAGACCTGCCACTGAACAGAATAATTATCAGAATGTATATCTGGATATTTTCAGTTTTAATCAATTATTATTTTGGTACAGTAAACACAGTAAAAATTACATGTATGGTTATTTTAAAAAAAATTATCTATTTGTGACAATAAGCCCAGTCAGTAGACTGAATGTGTGCAATGAAAACAATAATATTCAGAAAAGGTTAGTTAGGTAACAATGAACAAGTCCGTCTGTAAAATATGAATGACATACAAAGGTAGTTAGGTAACAATGAACAAGAATGTTTATAAGATATCAATGACATACAAAGTTATTTAGGTAACAAAGAACAAGACTGTTTATAATATATCAATGGAATACAAAGTTAGTTAGGTAACAATGAACAAGACTGTTTATAATACATCAATGACATACAAAGTTAGTTAGGTAACAATGAACAAGACTGTTTATAATATATCAATGACATACAAAGTTAGTTAGGTATCAAAGAACAAGACTGTTTATAATACATCAATGACATACAAAGTTAGTTAGGTAACAATTAACAAGACTGTTTATAAGATATCAATGACATACAAAGTTAGGTAACAATGAACAAGACTGTTTATAAGACATCAATGACATACAAAGTTAGTTAGGTAACAATGAACAAGACTGTTTATAATACATCAATGACATACAAAGTTAGTTAGGTAACAATGAACAAGACTGTTTATAATATATCAATGACATACAAAGTTAGTTAGGTAACAATGAACAAGACTGTTTATAAGATATCAATGACATACAAAGTTAGGTAACAATGAACAAGGCTGTTTATAAGCTATCAATGACATACAAAGTTAATTAGGTAACAATGAACAAGACTGTTTATAAGATATCAATGACATACAAAGCTAGTTAGGTAACAAAGAAGACTGTTTATAAGATATCAATGACATACAAAGTTAGGTAACAATGAACAAGGCTGTTTATAAGCTATCAATGACATACAAAGTTAATTAGGTAACAATGAACAAGACTGTTTATAAGATATCAATGACATACAAAGTTAGGTAACAATGAACAAGGCTGTTTATAAGCTATCAATGACATACAAAGTTAATTAGGTAA